CGGGGCCCAAGTAACAATGGACTTATAACATTGTTATAAGTAGTTATATGTAGTTAGTATGTTACTTATAAGCACGTTGTATGTTGCCTATGTTACTTACAAGCACGTTATGTGTTGGCACGACGCGAGCATGCCTGCAGGCATGCTCGCGCCGTGCCCAAACAAAAATCTCACGAAGGGCAGGCTCTCAGTCGTGTTCGGCCCCCCCCCCGGCCCTCCGCTGGGCCTTTTAATGGGACCGTTGGCGAGACGACTCGGGACGAAGCGCCGGCCCCGAGGGAGGGGTCGGGACCTTCCAGGGACCCCGCCTTGAAGAGATCAAACCATCACAATTATTCAGAGCCCCGTCCAAATTATTGGGGTGCTCGGGCGTCCAAATTATTGGGGTGCGGGGCAGTCTCAGGCCCCCGACTGTGTGATTTTTCACAGCGTCGACTCCCGGAGGTCTCGACCCATTCCCCGGGACCGACTTCTCATCTTGAGCCGATGTTTGACAGTCCAGGGGCTCGGTGAGGGCTCCCAGAGGCCTAACGTAGCGCAAAACTCCCGTCGTGCTTGTTTCATGGCCCGAGGGGGTCTGGGGTTGGGAGGCGAGTGCCTATGGCAGCCCGGGGGCGGGAGAGGAGGAGGAGAGGGGAGAGGCGTCGAGGGGCCGTGGTCGGCAGGGAGCGAGGCGGGAGGGGAGCGGAGGGCAAGGGAGTGGACAGAGAGAGAACCGGACCCCGGACGTCGTGATTTTTGTTCACAACGTCGACCCCCGGAGGTCTGGGCCCCTTCCCCGTGGGACTGGTTTGTCCTCCCGAGTTGTTCTTTGACGCTCCCGGGGCCCCGCGAGGGCCCTCGGAGGCTGGAAATATAGAAAAGAAAACCGTCTGTCCCAGTCCTCCGGCGTCTCGATTCTTTCGAGACGCGGGCCCCCGACCTCTCGACCCTTTCCCCCAGACCGGTTTTCCACCCCGCGTCGTTGTTTGACGGTCCCGAGGCCCGGTGATGGCCCCGAGGGGTCGAGAACGACGAAAGACCTCTGTCTCGACTTTTTCGGGGCACCAGAGGTCTGGGGTCATGAGCTCTTCCCAGCGCGAGGGGGTCTGGAGAGAGGGAGGCCAGGCCAGGGCCGCCGCGGCGCGCCCTGGAGGCCCCCTCGCTCAAGCAGTGGCGAGGCGTCCTGGCTCGCCTGTAGGCCCACCGAGAGATGTTCCAATACGGTGGGGGCACTGGTTAAGGAATGCGCCCAGGAAGATCAGACCCTGGAGGATTCCTTATCTGATGAGGGCGGCAGTGATCTCCATGGCCAAGCCTCGATTGGAGTTCCAAGAGCTTCCAGACCCTGGATTCCTTTTCGAAGGTTTCCTTATCCAATGCCCCCACCGTAACCTGTTGTGGTCTGCTCGAAATGATGTCAGAACATTTTTGGCCGAGGTGGTATTGTTTTCACACACACATCGGGTTCATGTTCTAAGAGCAGCTTTTTGGTCATAAAGCCTGTCTTGGTTCTAAGAACATGTCGTGGTAGGCCTGTGGGAATGGCGGGACGGTCGGTCCTTGCTCAACTCGCGGGTCCTGAAACATTCAGGACGGGAGGTGTTTCGGTCCGTTCGGCCCCTGGGGGCCCTTGCCGGCCCTCGGGGCCGTCAAAATGACGACCCGGGAGGAGACAAAGTGTTAGGGGACGTCGTGAACAAGAATCACGACGGGAGGTGTTTCGCTATGTTCCGCCCCTGGGGGCCCTCGAGAGCGTCAAAAAAGCGATTCGGGTTGAGGCACTGGTCCCAGGGAATGGGTCGAGACCTCCAAGGGTCGAGGTTCTGAAAAAAACATCATGACGTCGGAGGTCTGGGCAGGGAGCTACAAGCTCGACGAACAATGTGCTGGCAGTTTTTTCTTATCGTATGTCTCTGCTGTGCGGTAGGTTCGCGTCCTGTCGACCGGCGGCGACACCGCCGCCGGCGTTCAACGTTGAACGCCGCTTCGTTGAACGCCGCTTCGTTGAACGTTGAACGCCGCTTCGTTGAACGCCGCTTTGTTCAACGTTGAACGCCGCTTCGTTCAACGGCGACCCAGGATCGGCCCATCGTTGAACGATCTGGCGTTTCTGGCACGGCCGATCGTTCAAGGTTGAACGATCCCCGCGGTGTCAGGAGCCAGCGCGGGGGTCGACGCGGCCCGAACCTGCCGTGCCCTCCCTTTTGCTCAGACAGCGCCCCCTGCTGTCATTCGGTCGCAAATCATAGGAGCCTGGTATACACGATCAGCATCTGGGAGTCGGTGAGATAGCGCCGATATAGCGTCGGCTAGCGTCGATTAGCGCCGATTTTGCGTCCAAGGGCGTAGGTTGAGCGTCGACGAGCGTCGATTCGCGAGAGCCGACAAGACGGTGTGGGAGGCCCCCATGAGTTGCCACCGAGCCTTCATGCGTGGGCTCGTGCTTCGTCACCGCCGGCGGCGCTCCGCCGCCGCGAGCGCGCCTCCCCCCCCCTCAGGAGCGCGGCTCGAAGAGCGG